AGGGGACTAGGGGCTCAACAATTCAATGGTCAGATGGGTGGGAAACTGGTTGTGAGGTCGGACTCAGAGAGTACTAATAGATGGATCGGTGTCGACCTGGCAGAAGGTAGCCAGTGGGGTCCCCCAGGGTTTGGTACTTGGACCAGTGCTTTTCAACATCTTCATTAATGATCTGGATGTGGGAGTGAAAAGCAAACTGGCAAAGTTTCCCAATAATACTAAGCTGTGGGGAAGTGCGGCCATGCATCAAGGTTGACTGAAGATCAGGCAGACCTCAACACATTAGTTAGATGGGTGGACCAGAACTAGATGCTGTTCAGCACTGAGAAGTGTAAAGTGCTCCATCTGGGAAGGAAAAATCCACAACAAACTTACAGACTTGGTGGTGCTATGCTAGCTAGCACCAAAAGGCACTAGCATCCAAAAGGGGCTGGAGGACATAATTGACCATCAAATGAATATGAGCCACCAGTATGATGCTACAGTTAGCAGAGCAAACAATATGCTGGCATGCATCAACCAAAGCATCTCAAGCAAAACTAAGGAAGTTATTCTCCCACTCTACTTGTCATTGGTGAGGCCACAGCTGGAATACTGTGTCTGATTCTGGGCGCCATACCTCAAGAAAGATGTGGAGAAACTTGAGAGAGTCCAGAGAAGAGTCACTTGTATGATTAGATGCCTGAAAAGCAAGCCATACAAGGAAAGGCTGGCAGATATGGGACTGTTCAGCCTAGAAAAGAGCAGACTTTGGAGGGATTTGGTGGCAGCTTACAAATATATCAGGGGTGAGCATCAGGGGCTAGGTGAACAACTATTCACCAAAGTGTCCCAGAGGAAAACCAGGAGCAATGGTCATAAACTCCTAGAAGAAGGTTTCAGACTGGATATAAGGAAAAACTTCACGGTTTGTGTGACCAAACTTGGAATAGACTCCCAGTGGGGTTGGTGCAGGCATCTACCCTGGCGATCTTCAAACGGGGACTGGATGCATACCTTGCTGGGGGTGTTTGACCCCAAAAGTCTTTCCTGCCCACAGCAGGGGGGCTGGACCCAATGATCTAATGAGGTCCCTTCCAGCCCTAAACTTCTGTGAATCTGTGAAGCACCTAGCCTGGGTTATTTGCTTAGCGTATCTGTTTATTGCCTCACACCTCACTTATCTCCTTACATCTCTTTGTGGCACTCTTCAAAGAATCTGGAGGCACCTCAGCATGCCCTGGTACCCTGACTGAGAATCACTACACTAGTGTATCTGGAGCAGAATCTGGCCCTTAGTTATAGACCACTTCTAAATCTTCCAAATTCATCTTTGTTATGTTGTGTTTCCCATCTCTGCCTCCTCTCAGTCAAAATGGTCATCAATATATTTCCCTGCTATTATATATCTCAGCTCCAAAATGGTTGAATGGATCTTGCACAAACACGCTCCTACATAGAGATCTTTTTGTAACAAGGGAATATGTCAGCTCTGACAGTAAATATTTCAGGAACCTACAAATCTGGTAGAAACAGGGGAGAAAATTTAGAATAGAAAATGTTTTGAAACCTCTGAATGGCTTGCACTTGCATCACTTGCATAACAGCTGTCATAAACCTTCATTTGCAATTGCACTAGGAAAATATATTTAGACCAGAATGTCACAGAGCAGGTTCTGTATAGTATATGACATGAACCAGAGCCTATTTAGGGAGTGCTGCTTAAATACTTGCAGTCCATTG